TCATTTATTTTTCAACAGGACAATGACCCCAAACACACCTCCAGGCTGTGTAAGGGCTATTTGACCAAGAAGGAGAGTGATGGAGTGCTGCGGCAGATGACCTGGCCTCCACAGTCACCGGACCTGAACCCAATCCAGATGGTTTGGGGTGAGCTGGACCGCAGAGTGAAGGCAAAGGGGCCAACAAGTGCTAAACACCTCTGGGAACTCCTTCAAGACTGTTGGAAAACCATTTCAGGTGACTACCTCTTGAAGCTCATGGAGAGAATGCCAAGAGTGTGCAAAGCAGTAATCAGAGCAAAGGGTGGCTATTTTGAAGAAACTAGAATATAAAACATGTTTTCAGTTATTTCACCTTTTTTTGTTAAGTACATAACTCCACATGTGTTCATTCATAGTTTTGATGCCTTCAGTGAGAATCTACAATGTAAATAGTCATGAAAATAAAGAAAACGCATTGAATGAGAAGGTGTGTCCAAACTTTTGGCCTGTACTGTATATATAACTTAAACCTACTTTTCTCTCCAATCAACCCGAACAAATGTAAATGTAAAATCGTATAACTGAGTGTGCTTTACTGTACTTTACTGTAACACTATTATAAGTGCTGGATCTAAATATCCCGCTCATATGTGTCCTCAGTACCAACCTGCTGCTGTGTGGTGAGTCCAGGCAGCTGGTAGAGTACAATGTTGTGTTCTGCTGTGACTGTGGCCAGCCTGGAGGAGGCAGGCAGGGAGAGGAGGTACGTTAGACTGCGGGGATCATCGTCCTTTTCCTCCTCCTCAGAGACAGCAGTGGGGGTGGAGGAGAGGGTCTGCGCGTAGACACAACGCGCGGTGCTGGCCTCCCACACTCGCAACACACCTACAAGTGAGGAAGGGAGAAGAGGTGAGTGACAGAGACATTTAAAGCAAAGCTCTGAGGTGTTGCTGTCCACAAAATCTGGACCCATGCTCAGCAAAACACATTAGATGTTAAATCACTTCAGAAACCTTTGCTGCCAGCTGTGATGAAATGCAAGTCTTTGCTCTTCACTCCAATCTCAGACAAGTCCTCATTCTTAGGCAGGAGCACAACGCCCTCCACAGCCTGCAGAGAGTGACAACACACAGAAATGAAGCTGCAATATTTTCCCCACAAGACGCATTTAAAAGAAAGGAATGAATGTCTCTCAGTTCTCAGCACTGTTTTCAAAGTCTTACCTCATAGACCGGCACAGTTCTCTTTGCTTTCTGAGCCTTCAGGTCCCACACTGTGCAGATCTTGTCTCTGCCAGAACTACAAATAAAGAAGAAATGTATAAAACACTGATCATTAGAAACCTAAACACTTAAAATGTTGCGAATGACAGCCCGTCTATTGAGTAGCTGAGTGTACCATACCTGACCATGGTGTCACCATCTGGGCTGAAGCAGAGCGAGGTGACAGCGCTGTAGTGGCTCTGCAGCACGCACACACACTGACTGGAGCGCAGGTCCCACAGACGGATGCCACAGTCCAGAGAGGAGGAGAAGAGCTGCAGCCTGTCGATGTCTGGATGGAACTGGACCAGGCTGCAGAGATACACAGTCTTGTTACTGAATTTACTCTTTATTTACAAAATCACTATCTTTCACTAAATCTAAATTCTTAAACTTTCAGAGTAACCTCTTTGGGTTCCATTTGCCTTGTTAGTATAATTCGTTTGGACTGCTGTTAAAGTTGTCAATCAAACACTGGTGTGCACCAAACAACTGAACCGAGACTGCGTGAAACTTTTTTATCTCAGTCCGTTTTCAAGCAGACTCTGGTACGGTTGGTTTGTGGTGTGAAAGCACATCAAACCAACAGCAGGACTTTATGATAGCAGATGTGATTTTAGCATGATTTCAAAAGCTAAACTACAAATACATCCATCTTCTGATTGGAAAATCTGTCCACGAGCTTGTAACTGATCCATATAAAGGTAATGTATAGCCTATAAACTATTTGTGCTAATGCATACGTAACCACGGTAATGCACGTCAGCAAGGGTATTTTCCTTGTTAAAAAGCTGCTTGAACTGCCATGATTGTATCTGACTCCGTGTACTTTGTCAGTTCATTAAGTCCATTAAAAATGTGTGACAGTGAGCCACAGTAAAAAGCCCCAAATTACCACTGTACAAGATCACTCTGTCTCTGTGTTAGTCATTACTCATACCATGCAGTTGATTTGCAGTCTAAAAATACTAATAATGTTTACAATCAATTACTTCTATGTGAGCTGTTTGTGACACCAAAGATAAATACTATACACTTCAGAAGCATTTAAGTGCTGTGTGACCTTCTGTCAGTCACTGAAATTTGATCTCCTCACGTGGGTCCTGATGATGCAGGAGGACAATCACAAAGCTGTCCAATTAAGCAGTTACCTGTCAATCTGTATAACTTCATGTTTACACCTCTCTGTTCATTTGTATAAAGTCAGCCCAACCGCAAGACGCTTACTCTAAAAACAGTCCAGTATTGGAATATCTGAACATGTGATTTGCTGGTCTTCAAATTACATCAAATCAAACAAAGATGATATCCTAATTGATAAAGTCGTTGCAGATAAAAAACAAATGTTCTTTAAATGCCTAAAGCAATTCTTATTATTTAACCTTCTATTATTTCCTCACTTCAGCAACGCTGATTATTCAAGAAGCGGGCTGGATACTGAACTTCCATACACATGAAATGTATGCATAGTCCCGAGAGTTGACATTTAATGTCTCGTCAAATGCAATCTTATTCATCCTTCTGATTTATTAAATAGCTTCTGATTTAAATCCCAATGTTGCCATCTTACACTATTTCATCACGACAAAGATAGCAGTACTGCCTGTCTTTAGACTTCAGCTTCTTTTTTAAATGACAAAAAAAGCTTGCGTAGAAAAATGTTTCTCAAAGTAAGTCCGAGTATTAAGTTTTTTTTAACACAACTTCTGTACATACGTATTATCAAAAGCGTTTCTTGTTCTTATATATGTGAACTTACTGTACGACGCCAGATGACCCTTTAAGATTGTGGGTGCAGTACTGCTTCACCACATCCCAGAGCTTTATAGTGCCATCACAGCCACCTGCAAGACAACAAGAAGACAAAACTCAGCAAACTGTCCACGCAGCAGAAATCAGGCAGAAACAAGGGACACAAAAGACACAAGTTATTGTCATTCATTGCTGACCTGTAGCCAGGAGCGTAGAGGTGGAGTCAAAGGTCATACTGGCTACAGGAACAGTGTGAATGGCCCTCCAGGAGCGAGTGCACTGAGCTTGCTTCCAGTCCCACTGCTTCAGCAGCAGAGCTCTACTGGCTGTTACCAGCATCTGTGGTGGGGACACAGAGCAGAGACAAACTCACATACTTAATGCTTTTTTTATGGGCTGATAAGATGAATTCACACCATGAGAACTGACTGAAGAAATGACAGGTGGTTGAGGTTGTTTTACCTCATCATCACAGCTGAGTGCGAAAGATGTGATGTCCTCTTGATCATCCTGCAATTGAAATATGGACAGACAAGACAGAGAGGATGATGACTGTTACAAACTAAAGAACTGAGAAATAATGTGTTTTGAGATTTGTTGCAATGAAATGTTCTTACACTTAATTCTAAAATATTTTTCAGTATTTTGTCCTATCATCAAGAATATCATTATTGCAAAATATCCATATCGCCCACCTATAGAAAGGTAAACACGCATTCCTTGTACTCACATGCTCAACACAGTGGACGATCTTCCCTGTGCTGATCTCCAAAACATTGACACGTGATCCACAAGTGCAAAAGATGAACTTTTCATCTTTGCTGATCTGAAAAACAAACAGCCAGAGAGGTTAAAGGGTCATCTTAAAGCATAATTTTTGACCGTATTTGTTTTAATCTGTCACTTGTAAGGGACTGTTCATTATTTATGAGAGGGGAGTGGGTGGTACAGAAAGGGGGAGGCATGTCAAATAATTTTTTAAACACTGAGGGGGGGGACTTATGTCTTATATTTTGGCATAGAGAACTGGCATACAAATGTAAATAGCTGTATTTGTATAGATTTTTTCCGTTTATCATAGCCAGAAATTATAAAAACAGAAATTATTATTGGATTTTCACATTTCTGATCATCAGAAAAAAAACAAAAAAACAAATCTGAGCTTTAAGTGGTGATATTTCATCAAAATCCCAGGGAGAGTTTAAAACCAGGGATTTTTTGTAACTCTCCAATTTTTAACTTTCAACTATTGAACATCAAAAGGTAAGTTTTAAAATCTAGTAACTAATTTATGGTGGAGGGAAGGTCATTCATTTTTCCAGTCGCTTGGGGAGGCTCAAGAAAAAAATATTTGTAGATTTAGAGAGGGTCACGAATCAAAATTAAGAAAAAAAAGCCACTCCCCTCCTCTTATAAGTACAGAGCAGTCCCTAAGTCCGCCGTGTTATGGCAGTGCAATATTAAATCACTGGAGCCCTTTAGGGACAATTTCGCACACTCATTTTAGCAACACATTTGACACAAAACACACGTCTGAAAACTCACCTGCACTTTTCCTCCTTTGTAAAACGGTTCAATCTTGCTCTCAACAACATAACTGCAAAGAAACAACAGGAATTTAACTATAAGTTGCACCAACTTTCACTGACACTTTAGCCTAGCTTGTGTTAGCCTGCTAGCTAGGTTTGCAGCCTGCACGTGCGACGCGTTAAAAACTTACTTTGTTTTGAACTGAAGGTTGGTGTTTGCCATCTTGCTCACGAGAAAGGCCAAAACCGAAATATTTTGGCAGCTATGGTGATGTAAATTAACTTATTCCTCACTTCGCACGTTGGCTACAGTCAACACATCCATCCCGCATGTTGATACCCGAGTCGCACACATTGTACGTCATCGAAGCGCACTGGGCTGTGATTGGTCAGAGGGAATCCCACTTGTATTGACAGCATGTAAACAGATAGAAATGCTATTAAAAAGCGTGTAAACTAGCATTTTAAGGGGAAAATAAGCGTAGAAGTATAAAGGGTGAATGTTTTTCGATAAATAGAGTCTCTAAATTCACTTTCACTTTTAAATTTAGTCCGCGAGGCTCACAACAATAGAGCCAGCCGGAGCTATTCATGCTCAAAAGTTCCTGTTTGACGCGTGGAGGCTGAGCTTTGATGCTAGAACAGCAGGGAAAGGACGCGCTTCATAATGAGCGCCATTATCTGCCCTCCGTTTTCATAATTTACTGTTTTCATTTGTCCGCACACACACACACACACACACACACACACACACTCACACACTCACACACACACACTCCCTCACACACACAGGCAAACGGACCCTCCTTCATGTTTTGTCAGGAATGTTCATGTGTGTGTTGTATTGATAACGCGGGTGTGTGACTTGCGAGTGGACCGATATGGAGTAAACCAGCGCCGGGAATGGAAACACGGTGAGGAGAGGAGATTGTCATGGTGAGTAGACAACAGCTTTTGTTTTATTGTCTTAATCTTAAATGTATTTATCAATATTGTGTTGTATAAGTGTGATGCTATTAGACATAACAGCTACTTTTCTTATATCTCTGGTGAACTCTGAAATTTCCTTTTCTCAGAAATACATAATCCTGAGTGAGTTTCATGGTAATTTATTTAAATTGAATATTAGACCCAAATAAAAAAAAAAAACAATAAGAAAATAATGACATGTGTTTACTACCTCGTGTTTTGTTGTGGAAAAACATATTTAAAGAATTACACCTGCTTTTCGTGATCATGTATCAGTCATATGACTTTCCAGAACAATTCTGTTTGTCATCTGTTGCCTTTATGTTGAAAACACTGTGGGCATGTTGCAGCCAACTGTGGAGCCATGTTTTACCAAAAAAAATGCAGGGGACACAGATTGTCTATCTTCTCACCTCACACAACTCTGCCCTTTAATGTCTCCCTGAAATAATAACAATACTTTATGATAACCCGGAATATTTATTTGGCCACGCTCAGGCGGACCCAGAGGTGTCAACACAGAGCGGGGGCTATGATGTGGAGCTGTTTGTGGACACTCCAGACTACGATCTGATCTGCACCATATGCCAGGGGGTCCTCAGGTGTCCAGTAAGAGCCGCATGCCACCACATCTTCTGTAAGAAATGCATCTTACAGTGGCTGAAGAGGTACAAAACATGGATGGAAAAAAAGAGTATTAAACCATACTGCATTGGATTGTTATTCATGTCTGGTCCAATACGGAAGAACAGGACTAACTGTTGTTTATCCTCTATAGGCAGGAGACCTGTCCTTGCTGCAGGAAGCCTGTTAACCCGAGCTTGATCTTTGTCATGTTCAAGCTGAGCAAATCTATTGGACGCATGAAGATCAAGGTAGGAAACTGAAAATAGAAGCTGTATATTTATAAATCATAGTCAGAGTTATGTAGTGTAATTGTGACAGCTCTTGTTTTAGTAATTCAGTGGCTACATTAGTACTTTGGGAGAGGGCCTAAAAAGTGGCCCTTCACTATCTCTTGAAGCTCTAGGGAGGGGGTCTGTAAAGGGGTCCACTGTGGGTTTTACACTGGGTGTTTATCTTGTCTTGTGAACTGGTTCATAGGGCGTATTCATGTGGTTATGGTTACAGTCATGATGTGACTGTGGCCCTTTAAGTGATAAATATCTGCAACTATAGCAGTTAAACTAACATTCATTTCATGATCAATTAATACATGCATCTTTTTTTATCATTAATATTTTATTTAACTTTTTAACAATACACAAGTAATTCTGAAAACTACATAAATATGCACCACAATCTTCTCTGATCCACGAACAGCAGATGGGCTCAGACACTCAAAATGTGTGCAACAGAGCACCATGCATAGACGTATGATTCACTTCAAGATACATCAACTCCAGCAATACTCCAAGTAGCTTCTCCACTTCGCCACATATTTCTCCGTCATGTCCTTGGAGCTGAAAGAGATTTGTTCATATGATGCAACTTTTGCCAGCTCTGTGAACCATTCCTTCAAACACAGCTCACCTGGTTTCCTCCTGTTTCTCATTATAATTTGCTTTCCCACCATTACACCGGTCTGACTTAAGTCCCTGGCTTCATAGTGAGATGTCATTTGAGAACATACAGCCTGGGTCAAAACTTTAAGTTAGTCTGAGTAATGTTTTTTAAATGTTCATGAAACCTTTATCCATCATGAACGTATAAAAAAAAGCCATCCATCATTTTTTAGCTAATCAGTTAATCAGTTAGTCTGTAAGATGTCAGAAATGTTTTAGTCTACTACAGTTCACAGGGAAATAATGTACTTTAGATATCACTACATTTATTTGACAGCTTCAGTTACTAGTTACTTTATAGATTTTACACACAAAATAAATGATGAGCTGAAGAAATATGATGTTTGACCTTTCAACAGTTCATAAAATAGTTAGGATTAGATCCACATCTGCCAAAAAATGCTACTTACACATTTGCGTATCTGTATTAATACCCCAATAACTTGCCCATAGTATATAATATTATTATTAAACTTACTGGGAGCATTTTTCAATACATTATAAGTATACTTTAAGTGCATTTTGCTGATAACGCTTGCATAATTTTACTTAATCTGCTTGAATAATAAAGATACCCAACAGTACTTCCAGTTGAGAAGTGTGCTGCAGGTCTATTTGTGTCATGTGGCATTGATTTCTTTCTGTTTCTCTGTATCTGGCCTCTTACAGTGCAAGAATGAGATCCGTGGTTGTGCAGAGACCTTCTCCCTCTCGGAGCAGTACTGCCACAGCATGAGCTGCCTCTACGAGCTCATCCCCTGTCCATACCAGGGCTGCCGGGCGCAGCTCCTCCGCAGGGACCTGGACACCCACGCACGCCACTGCGAACACTGGCGTCAGCCCTGCCACATGGGCTGCGGGACGATCCTCTCCCACCGCACCCAGGCTCAACACAACTGCTACAAGCAGCTGAGGCAGGAGTATGAAGTCAGACAGAGGAACCACAGGGCCATCGCCACCGCCCTGCAGAGGAAGATGAGGAGGATGCAGAGCACCATGGCCCACATGAAGAGGCAGATAGGGCTGATCTGCGAGAGCCTGGAGGTGATGGACGACCTGCACGAGGTAGAGGAGGAGGACCTCGGAGAGAGCAGTGGCAGCTCTGGTGGGACTCCAAGTAGCAACAACAGCAACTGCTGAGGGACGAGTTAGTTAGTACTGCTGCTGGTTGGCTACTGCTGTGTATAATATCTGCATGTGTTCATCACTTTGAAGGTGTGTGTTTTTAGAATATGGTACATGATTAAAAAGAGTGAATTTGTAACAATTTTTGTGCTGTATTTTCATCTATTTTGTAAATAAATTATTTGACATCTACACTGTCATCCTGATGATCATTCATGAGGAGAGTTTTATTTTTCAGCAAGTTTCCTCAATAATGCAAAACAGGGCACCATCAGTGTGCTTACTGAATAAATACATTAAATCTATATTATTAAAAATTGTATCAGAAACAAAGTAAAACGAAATGATGTCCTCCAACAGAGCAGTGTTTCTATTCCAGCGCTTTTCACTGTAAGGGAGCTTCTATGTTAATGACTAATTTTGTTTTCTTTGTTTTTATTTTTGTTTGTTTTTTGAAATGCTAAAATATTACCACGGTCATCTAGAATATATAACATAAAATCATTATCAACCTTTTGAAACTGAATTCCCCCATTGAGGGATTAATGAAGCACTTCTGTATTGAAGTAAAGTCGCCGCTAGGGGGCAGTAGTTAGCCGTTTTAGTCTCGGAGGAAATATCGCGATAAAACCTCTATATAAAATCCGGCGAGACTTCTCGTGGTTCTTCTTCCTGTTTAAACGATCACGTAAGTTGGATGGAAACCCTCACTTTCCGATCAAAATCCTACTTTATCTCACACATCCTCCCGCCAAATATATTTGTTATACCTACAAAACTACACATAGATATTTAATTTCAAAACCCTGCTTGTATTTCTGAGTACAATGTGGCAGAATTTGAGATATATTTGAAAATATTGAAGAAAAGTCCTCACCGTTAAACATGGCGGCGGTGGTCGTTTTCTGTGAGATAAACGGGGTGGTTACACATATGTTTACTGACTTTCGCTGTAGCTTTTACAGGAGATACTCAGTTTTATTTGTCTTTTCTCTAACAGCAAATGGCGGACGACGCCGGTGGTAGAGGAGGTTTTCGCGGAGGTTTTGGCGCAGGTGGCCGCGGCAGGGGCCGAGGACGCGGCAGAGGCCGTGGCAGGGGCCGCGGTGCCAGGGGCGGCAAGTCCGAGGACAAGGAAGTGAGTTCAATACGTTATAGTAATTGCAGTGTATGTAGTAAGACAGTAGTCTCTATTTAGTAATGTCATGAGGAAATTGTCAATGACACGCTCTTGTCTGTTGTCAGTGGGTGCCAGTGACCAAGCTGGGCCGACTGGTTAAGGACATGAAGATCAAGTCCCTGGAGGAGATCTACCTGTACTCTCTGCCCATCAAGGTAAGCAGTGAATGAGGATGACCATAGTGACAGACTGCTAACTGTCAAATGTTCTAATAATACCATGGGAGCGAAGGGATGTCTTGTGCATGTATGGAAGTGCATTAGTGATGTCCCCAGGATGGTCCTGTTAATTTAAAGATGAATACCACTGTGTGTATTGTTCCCTAAAGAAAGATTAGTGCTGATGATGTTTGAAAACCTAATTTCCGATACACTTAAAGCTGCTTTACATGTATTTCCAGAAACTTTACACTCTTGAAATTTTCTTACAATGGAAGTTAAAAAGGATTTATTGTGTATGAAGTAGGGATGTGCATGATTAGTCAAAGAAATGCTGGTAGCCAGCGCCAGAAATTCAAGCTTTTTAAACTGAGTGTGTGTTTTTGAATTGAGATATGGCTGGACCCTAAATACACAGTAAAAAAAAAAGTTAATTATTTAGTGAGTTGTGGTGTTTTGTAGGATAATACACAATGTTCATAATGCAAGGTACAAAGTGCTACACATTTCAGGAGCATTTAAAATGAATTTTGTTATTGAAAAATATAGATTTCAAATAGCTCTTACATTATATGCAGTATTTTTTTTTTTCAAACTATCTACTGTTACAGATTAAATTTTGACTGTTTTTAGACTAGTAAAGTAGTCTTATTTTAGATGTCAGGGAAATTAGTCATTGGGAACATCTGTAGTATGAACATGCACACTTGTGGACAAATACAAGTGAAACACCTTTGGTTTTTCAAAGATGCTCTGGTGTTTCATTCATAAGATGTGATGCTTGGCTTATTTAATACATAATAACTGCATAGACATGCATGCTAAACCTTATGTTGGGTGTGGTAATATGGTACAACATCACATCTGTTTACTTTTCTCCTGCAGGAGTCTGAGATCATCGACTTCTTCCTGGGCTCTGGCCTGAAGGACGAGGTGCTCAAGATCATGCCTGTCCAGAAGCAGACCAGGGCTGGTCAGCGCACCAGGTTCAAGGTGAGTCGTCATTAACTCTAATAAAGGGTTTATTTTGTCAGTAGTAATCACATAAGTTTTATTGGTGCAGATGTGACATTGTTGGCTTTTGTTCACAGGCCTTTGTTGCCATTGGCGACTACAACGGCCACGTGGGTCTGGGTGTGAAGTGCTCTAAAGAGGTGGCCACAGCCATCCGTGGTGCCATCATCCTGGCCAAGCTGTCCATCGTCCCCGTCAGGAGAGGTTATTGGGGTAACAAGATCGGCAAGCCCCACACCGTGCCCTGCAAGGTGACTGGACGCTGCGGCTCTGTCCTGGTGCGTCTCATCCCTGCCCCCCGTGGTACTGGCATTGTGTCCGCCCCTGTGCCCAAGAAGCTGCTCATGATGGCTGGTATCGATGATTGCTACACCTCTGCAAGGGGCTGCACCGCCACCCTCGGCAACTTCGGTAAGATTCTTCTGATGGTTGTGTGTCTTAATCTGTGTCATGTCTGGTTTTCTCCTTGCTCTGCTCAGCTTCACCTCTGCAGTGGTGTAGTTGTCGTTATCAGGAGGGAAAGAAACGAGTATTGTAATGCACGGCAGAGAGACCGTTACAGTGGTCTCCTCTGTTCCCCTTTTCAGTGCTCTACATTGTTTTTAAAAGACTGCAGCACTATCATGTGCATAAAGCTCTATCTTAAACATCTAATGATTGTTTCTTTATTTCCTCATCAGCCAAGGCCACATTTGACGCCATCTCCAAGACCTACAGCTACCTGACCCCTGACCTGTGGAAGGAGACCGTCTTCACAAAGTCTCCCTACCAGGAGTTCACTGACCATCTGGCCAAGACTCACACCAGGGTGTCTGTTGCGAGGGGACAGGCTGTCCAGGCCGCTACCTCCTAAACTTTTTGTACAGAGAATCGTTGAATAAACGTTCTGAAACAAATTACGTGTGTCATGTATTACTTGTGCATAACTCATGACAAAACAGGGCTGTTGCTCAATATCAAGGAGCACCTAAGCCCAGTAATTAAAAAAAAATTGACGATCGGAGCACAGTGAAATGTCAACAGGTGAAACATTTGTATTTCAGCAAGACTTTTTACTATGAACATTGGCACTTCGGGGTGGATGGTGTGCAAGAGTCCTCTTCAAGTATGTAATTATATCACTGATACCAGTATGCTGTGATATTGATGATACCATAACCTGAGGAAGCTCAAGTGAGGTGTTTATTTATTTATTTATTTATTATTAAATGGTTAAAATGACCAGACCAGGAATCTGGCTAATTAAGCAAATTAAATGCTTAAATTGAAAACTGCAGGTCCAAAAGTGTCCACTGTCCTTCCCTAAATTGTCAATTAGATATTAAAAGTCATTAGATTGTCTTCAGTTTGAGAGGCCTTAATTACCACAAATACTTAATCAAACATCCATTTTTTTATTGCATTTTATCAAAATAAGTGAGTCCATGCAGATATTTTAAATCTAAATTTTAAATTTAAATCTACCACTGAACCTCATTTCATACATGCACTTAAAACTGTTGGTGAAATGTAATTAATGTAACTCATAACTGGATTCCTTCACAAAATTGCGTCTAAACAGAACTTCATATTTATCTGCAATGCTTGAGTAAGCGTAAGATATGTCCAAAAATCTAATACATTTGATTAAAAATAATCTCAAGCATCTTAAAAGGATTAAATTCAAATGTCTGACACATGCAGACACCTTGACAAAGTAAAATATGTCGAGTTAAGTAAGGGAACACTGTACAGGTAACAAAATCTGACAGAAATTCTCTATCTGTGAACCCCTATTCCTGAAGGTGTATTGATTATTTCAGCTAACATCTAAAAGAGAAAAGCTGTTCTCCATCCTCCATCACTTGTGGTTGTTCTAAAGACCCAGTAAACTCTTACTGTTCATGAAAGTCACTTGACAATATAAAGTTGCTGCACCAACTTGCAGTTGCATACAGCTTGATTAATAATTTTCCAGCACTGGGACATTCATGCATGCACAGTCACAGATGGCTAGGTGTGTGTGTTACTTTGAGGACAGAATGAACAGATGTGATTTATCACATAACATTTTATTTTACAATTATTACACAGGACAGATTGTAGGGAACTGTTTTTAAGCACTCTGGGCCTGAGCAGCCATCATTCGCTCTTTTTGCTTCATTAGACATTTCCTGCCACTGGCGTATGCTCCCAGGTCTCCATCTGGAAAAAGGAGAATCATCAATTATACACATGTAGTTGAAGCCAAAAAAGTTAAGTGACAAAATAAGGCATGCCAATGTCCAACAAGTAATTATTTTCATTTTCCTGTAATTAAGACATCAGAAAAATGTCCACCATTTCCCAAAACTAAAAGTGATTGCTTTATATTTCTTTTGTCAAATGTATATAAAAACTGAAAAGAGCATTAAATTCTCACATTTCAAAAGCTGGAACCAAAGAAATACTTCTAACAACTGTTTCAGGGCAACAACAAACAATATGTGTTGCATGATTTACTGTTGTACGATAACACACATTTTGTGACTGACACACACAGTAGAGTAACTCATCCCTTAGCATATGAAAGCATTTGCTACACTGTTGTATTCAGGCAATAGTCCAGTGTGACAGAACAGGACATGTGTTGCATTCATAAATGTTTCCACATTTCTTCCTGTTACACCTCACAAGTCCAAGCTCCAAACAGCGCAGTACTTACAGCGTGACATGAAGCTCTTGGTCACCTCGTTGAACTGCTGTATTTCTTTGGCACAGTTCTGCTCGTAGCTGGCTCCCTCTCTCTGCTGACAGGCCCTCATACGCTCCTGCACTATCTTCACAATCTCCTGGTCCACTTTGCTGAAA